TAGGCTATAAAAATATTTTAAAGTTAAAACATGGAACAGCATGAAACTATTTTATTATATGCATATAATAAACAATTTTTAGTACCACCACAATTCTTTACTTGAAAAACTCCATAGTGATATCACCTGATATCTCCTAGCTCACTTATTTGTTGTATTTCTTTTTTTTAACTTTTATTTAATAAATATAAATTTCCAAAGTACAGCTTTTGGATTACAGTGGCTTTTTCTCCCCCATAACTTCCCTCCCATCCTCAACCCTCCCATCTCCCGAGATGCAATGACTTTGAACAGCCCTGTCTCGACTGTAGAGAAAGTTTCTTTATTCATTTTTCTTTGACTTTTCTGTTTTATCATACAAATTGATGAACTCTTGACTTACTATAGACTTAATCTTCTTTGTATAAAGTTAATTGAAAATAGATCTTAGCATAAATAAAATTGATAATAGAGAGGAAGAAGAGGGGTGGGAGTGGGGGTGGGAGGTTAGACACGGTGGGAAGATTCTCTGTATTCCTAAAATTGTACTTAATAAATACACGAAGTTTCTATTCATTCAATAAGAGGTTAAAAAAAGAAAATGACTAAGTAAATGTTGCTTATAGCTATAGATATCCTGAGAATGAGAGAAGCATAACATGCAATTTCAATGATGTTTTTAAATGAAAAAGCTGACAGCATGACACTCTAGTCCAGAGTCACTCTGGGCTCAATTTACCACAAGAAGGCTGAGGAGATGTGCAGTATCAAGATGTTGGAGGCCTGCCTGGAAGACTGCTTTCTTGCAGGAAGAAGAAAAACATTAAACATCAGAATCTCATACAGAGTTCAAAAGTTCCTGCGGGGTTGAAACAATGCCTGAGTGAGCCTTCCACATCTGAAAATCATTTCCAATATGTTAGAATACACTGTTCTAAAAAGAGAATGTGGCATTTCCAAAGACAAGGAGGTTGAAGGGGCTTCTCTAGGAAAATATTGGTTTAGGACCAGAAATGCAAGCCCTTATTCAGAGTAGAGGGCAGGAATGAAGTCTTCCCATTTATGAAGAAATATATATAGTTTGGACACTATCAATATCTGGATAATTTTCAAGTAGGCAGAGACCAAAACAAAAACTGAAACAAAAAGCAGGGTAAGAAAATGAGGCTCATGAGGTCCCCATTGGAATTCCCTTCATTTCCCAGAAAGACATACCACATCAACTTTACAGCTCTGCTCTCAAGGAAATCATTTACACTTGCAGAGGACTGACTACATTAGCTTGGATCTGGCAAGAAATGACACCTGTGAAAAGACCAATGCCTGCATCTGAAAAAAACCCACACACAGTTGTCAGATTTTAAGTTTGTAAGGTTAGACTTGACAGGATTCTAATCAGAAAGGAGGGACTGGATCAGGAGAGGCTGAGATAGTCAAGTCTGACCTCATATACAAAAATAAGAATTAAAAGAAGGTGCTTTATCAAAGCAAAAATGATCATCATTGAACAAAGGAAAGGGAGAGACAGAGCATCATGGAGAGAAAATGACCAGTAATAAAAAGGAAGAACACGTGAATCACCATGAGATGTGGACTATTATCAAGTATAAGAGAATTTCAATTTCTTAGCTGCCCATCAAAAGTATCAGAAAAGGGTCTCAAATTTAATTATGAGCCATTGTGCGTGGGTTATTTCTGGCTCCCTGGAAGGGAGTGAGACTTTCCCTATGCTGTAGTACCTAAATGTGGTCTGAGAAGTACCTAGATCAGAATCAGGTGGATCTTGTTAAGCTCCAGGTAGGCACAGGAGCCTGCACTTACACAACTCCCAAGGTATTTCTTCCAAGTACAAAGTCTTAAAACTTTGCTTGTTGGAAGCAAGTATGCTTGAGCAGGAGGTAGAGCAATAACTTACCAGTGCATACCAAAGGAAAGCTCTCAAGGAAACAGATTTTATCACTGATGTACTTCCAAATGGGTCTTCCAAATGACAGGAACACTGCAATAAGAATTCATCATATCTGGTACTGGACCTGCAGGCTTATCAGATTTCTTAGGAAGCTCAGATTCTAGAATCTTTTACCTACCTCACAATATAGAGGATCAAGATCATCATCAGTGAACCAGAGAAAGGAATGTAGTGATAGGAAGATCTATGATGAGTCTTATCACAAGTGAGCTACCCCCACCGCATCCTCATTGGGTCTGGGATGTTTCTTTCAGGAGGGAGGCTCCCTGGGCCCAAAGGCACGTTGCCCAGCATCCCCTAGACCTGCCGCTCTGGGGAGGCCTGCAGCAGCTCCAGGAGAGCCTGGTATTTGTCCTCACTGAGAGGCAGCTCTGGGGCTGCCTGAGGACCCACCTCACAGCCGGCTGCAGGTGCCCCGGGAAGACCTGGGCTGGGGAGGGTGAGGCGTCTGCCTGTAGCGCGGGTGCCCAGCACCACATCTGACCCTGGGGCCCGGGATGGCCCCCCCTGCCAGGGACCCGGAGGCGGCCCGGGCTGCTGGCAGGCAGGTCGCGGGTGCGGGCCCTGCGGGCTCTCCAGAGGGCAGCAGCAGGAAGAGGGGGGCCCACATTGCCCCCGGGCATCCCACACCTTCCTTGGTGTGGGGACCACCATGGGGCCTGCGTGGGGGAGAGCCCCACCGCTCCGCTGGGCCGTGGCAACCCAGGGACTGGGAGGCTCAGAGGGGGAGCCCAGGGCTGCCACCCAGGCATGGCCTGGCTGGGCGTAATGCTCCCGGGCATGGCTGCCAGGCTTCCGCGACCAACTGGGGGCCTGCAGGGATGGGGGGGTGCGGGGTGTGGGAGGGGCCGGCGGTAACACCCCGCTGCAGTTGCAGGGGCCACAGCCGGGAACAGGAGCAGCCCTGGGGCCTCATTCAAGGCAAGGCATGTCTCCTCCTGAGCTTGGGCTCTACTGCTGCGGGTGGCAGGCCCTGCGGTTCTGGAACCACACCTGGATTCGGCCCTCGGGGAGGCCCATGCGTCTGGCCAGCTCTTCCCTGGTCACCATGCCGGGGAAGCGATTCCGCTCGAAGGCCCGCAGGAGGATCTCGGCTGTGGCCCTGAGATGGGCGTGCGCTGGCGCCGGTCGCCCGGCCCCACCAGCTCTCCTGCTGCAGGGGGCCCAAGTCCAGCGGGTCTTGTGCGCGCATTCACTGCTTCCTCTCCTGTTGAAACGACACCTTCACCCGGCCCAGCTCTTCTGAGCCCGACGCCAGGATAAGGGTTGCCGTCAAAGGAAGCTGCCCGGGCTCAGGACTGGGACAGGAAAAGGGTTGAGGGCATGTGGAGATCCCTCTCTGTGCGTCTTTGGGTGTGTGCTTGTGTGTGTGTGTGTGTGTGTGACAGAGAGACAGAGACAGAGAGAGGTGTTTGTGAGAGACAGAGAGAGAGGGACAGAGGTCAGAGGGAGGGAGAGAGAGGTGTGGGAAAGAGGGTTGTTTGTGTGGCAGAAAGAGAGACAAAACAGAGAGGGTGACGGAAAGAAAGAGAGCAAGAGAGAAGGAGGGAGAGAGAGAGCCCAAACCCGAGCAAACAGCCACCCTTTACCTCCCACCCCGCAATGGGTTTCCCCGGCTTCCACCCCAGGGGCTTCCTGGGCCCAGGAAGGTATGTCTTGCCACAGGCATTCCAGGATTGGTGGTGGTGTGCTTGTGCGCCTACCGGGTCCCGGACCTAGAGTATGGCAGCGTCTGGTTGTGTCCTCTCCTCCAGGCTCAGAACGCCCTTTCCTGCCTCATGTCCCCCCCCCTTGCCTTCATCACTGGGTCTGGGCCGTTTCTGTTGGGAGGGAGGCTCCCTGGGCCCAAAGGCACGTCACCCAGCATCCACCCTGGGAAGGCCTGCAGCAGCTTGAGGAGAGCCTGGTATTTGTCCTCACTGAGAGGCGGCTCTGGGGCTGCCTGAGGGCCCGCCTCACAGCCTTCAAGAGGGCCAACGGCTTTGGGCCATGTTGAGAAACTCTGGGCTAGACAGCAGCTCATCCAGCAGGTTGTGGGCCTTCACCTGGGGCCCAGGCTGAGAGCCCAGCTGGCTGTCTGCCAGCTTGGCTGCCCTGGGAAGACCTGGGCTGGGGCGGGGGAGGTGTTCTCCTGAGGTGCAGGTGCCCAACACCACGTCAGGCTCCGCAAACAAATGGCCCACCAGGGCTGGGGGGCCCACGAGGTGTGGGATTGTCCGGAGGCAATACACCTTGTGGCTGCAGGGGCTTGACCTGCTGCCCCATGGTGGCCTTGTGGCACGAGAGCCTGGTATTAGTCCTCACTGAGGAGAGGCCCTGGGCTGCCTTTGGGCCTGCCTCACAGCCTTACAGATCACCAAGGGCTGGGCCATGTCAAGAATCTCTGGCTCTGCGGGTGACCACTGGGTTGCACCAAGGAGCAATGCCCCATCCTGCCCAGAAGCTACACAGTCCCAGGACTGGTTCAGGAAAAGTCTTGAAGGCAATGTGGAGATCCCTGTTTGTGTGTGCATCTTTTTGTGTGTGTTTGTGTGTGAGAGAGATAAAGAGAGGCAGAGACAGAGGGGGCCTGAGAGAGGTGTTTGTGAGAGACAGAGTACAGAGAAAGAAAGAAGAAAGTGAAGACACACAAAACCTAAACAAAGATAACCAAGATGGAGTTAGAATCAGTAATAAAGACCATCCCAACAAAGGAAACCCCACCTTCACTGCTGAATTTTCCCAGACATTTAAAGAACTAATTCCAAATCTTCTCAATCTATTCAAAATAATTTAAAAGAAGGAAGTCTCCCAAACTCCTTCTTTGAAGTCTGCACATCTATTTAATACCAAATGCAGTCTGCATCTATTTAATACCAACTCCTGGAAAAGATGAAACAGATAAAGAGAACTATAGACCAATATCCCTTGAAACACAAAAGCAAAAATCCTAAACAAAATATTAACCAATAGAGTGGTTGGTGCAGTGGTGCCATAGGTTAATCCTCTGCCTGCAGTGCCAGCATCCCATATGGGCCCCAGTTCTAATGCTGGCTGCTCCTCTTCTTTCTAGATATCTGCTGTGGCTTGAGAAAGCCATAGAAGATGGCCTAAGTGCTTGGGCCTGTGCACCCTCATGGAAGACTGGGAAGAAGCACCTGGCTCAGATGCTGGCTTCAGATCAACACAGCTCTGGCTGTTGTGGCCATTTGGGGAGTGAATCAATGAAAAGAAGACCTTTCTCTCTGCCTCTCCCTCTGTTTGTAACTCTACCTCTCAAACAAATAAATAAAAACTTATAAAAAGATTTAGAGCTGTTGAATTTTTAAAAAATATATTAACCAATCAAATCTAAAAATACAACAGAAAAATCATTCACCCTGACCAAGTGGGATTTATCCCCAGATACAGAGATGGGTCAACATTCACAAATCAGTGTGATACATCACATTAAAAGATAGAAGCACAAAAACCATATGATTATCTCAATAGATGCAGAGAAAACATTTGAATAATTCAACACTCATGATGAAAATTTTAAGCAAATTGTAAATAGAAGGAATATTTCTCAATATAATCAAGGCTATTTATCACCATCCCATGGCCAGTGTCCTATTGAGTGGGGGAAAGTTAGAAGCATTCCCATTGAAATCTGGAACCAGACAAGGATGCCCATTCTCACCATTGCTATTTAATATAGTTCTAGAAGTTTTAGCCACAGCCATTAGGCAAGAAAAGAATGAAAGGGATACAAATCAGAAAGGAGGAAAGTGAAATTATCCCTATTTGAAGATGGCATGATCCAATATAGAGGATCCAAAAGACTCTACTAAGAGACTATTGGAACTCATAGGAGAGTTTGGAAAAGTAGCAGGATATAAAATAACACACATCAACAGCCTTTGTATACATAGACAATACCATAACTGAAAAAGAACTTCTAAGATGAATCTCATTCACAATAGCAACAAAAATTCAAGTTACCTTGAAGTAAATTTATCAGCTGGTGCCACGGCTCACTAAGATAATCCTCCACCTTGCGGCGCTGGCACACCAGGTTCTAGTCCTGGTCGGGGTGCCAGATTCTGTCCCAGTTGCCCCTCTTCCAGGCCAGCTCTCTGCTGTGGCCAGGGAGTGCAGTGGAGGATGGCTCAAGTGCTTGGGCCCTGCACCCCATGGGAGACCAGAAGTACCTGGCTCCTGCCATCAGATCAGCGAGGTGTGCCAGGCACGGTGGCCATTGGAGGGTGAACCAACGGCAAAGGAAGACTTTTCTTTCTGTCTCTCTCTTTCACTGTCCACTCTGCCTGTCAAAAAAAAAAAAAAAAAGAAAGAAAGAAAGAAATTTATCCAAGGGTGTCAAAAATCTCTATGATGAAAATTGCACATTAAATTAAGAACTAGAAGAAGAAACAAAAAATGGAAAAATCTTCCATGTTCATGGACTGAAAGAATCAATATCATCAAAATGTCCTTACTACTGAAAGCAAATTAGACTTTCAATGTAATGCCAATCAAAATACCATGGACATTCTTCTGAGATATAGAAAAATGATGCTGAAATTCATATAGAAACACAAGAGACCCTGAATAGCTAAAGAAATATACAACAAAAAATAAGCTGGAGCATCACAATACCAGATTTCAAGATATACTACAGGACAGCTATGGTCAAAACAGCCTGGTACTGGTACCAAAACAGTGGAACAGAATATAAATGTGAGAAATCAGCCCACACATCTTATTTTTAAACAAAGGTGTTAAAACCAAACCCTGGAACAAGGACTGTCTCATCAACAAATGGTGTTGATTTCCACATGCAGAAGTATGACCCAAGACCTACATCTTACGTCTTTCACTAAAATCCACTCAAAATAGGCTAAAGACTGAAATCTATGGCCTGACACCATCAAACTATTAGATAACATTGAGGAAATTCTACAAGACATCAGAACATTGGCCGGTGCTGTGGCCCACTTGGCTAATCCTCATGTGCAGTGCCAGCACCCCGGGTTCTAGTCCTGGTTGCTTCTCTTTCAGTCCAGCTCTCTGCTGTGGCCCAGGAAGGCAGCGGAGGATGGCCCAAGTGTTTGGGTCCCTGCACCTGCATGGGAGACCAGGAGGAAGCAGCCAGCTCCTGGCTTCAGATTGGCACAGCACCAGCCATAGCGGCCATTAGGGGAGTGAACCAACAGAAGGAAGACCTTTCTCTCTGTCTCTCTATAGCTTTCTCTTTGTCTCTCTCTCACTGTCTAACTCTGCCTGTCAAAAAACAAACCCCCCCCCAAAAAAAAAAAGACATCAGCACATAAAAAGAGTTTTGGAAAAGACCCCAGAGGCACAGGCAATCAAAGGAAAAAACTGACAAATGAGATTATATCAAATCCAGAAGCTTCTGTACTGCAAAAGAAACAATCAGCAAAATGAAGAGGCAACTGTCTGAATTGGAGAAACTATTTGCAACTATACCTCTGATAATCAATAACCAGAATATATAAAGAGATAAAAAACTCAACAACAACAAAACAAACAATCCAGTTAAAAAATGGGCAAAGGACTTAAACAGATATTTTTCAAAAGAGGAAATCCAAGCAGCCAACAGACACATGAAAAAATACTCTGGATCACTAGCTGTCAGAAAAATGCAAATCAAAATACAATCAGGTTTTACCTCACCCCAGCTTAGAATGGCTTTCATACAGAAATCAACAAATAAATGCTGGAGAGGATGTGGAGGAAAAGGTACTCTAATCCAGTGTTGATGGGAATGTAAACTGGTAAAGCCACTATGGAAGACAGTATGGAGATGACTCAGAAATCTAAATGTAGACTTACCATATGACCCAGCCATTCCACTCCTGTGAATCTACCAAATGGAAATGAAAACAGCATATGAAAGTCCTATCTGTACCTCTATGATTATCTTTGTTCAATTCACAAGAGCAAAGAAATCGAATCAACCCAAATGCCCAAAAACTGAAGCCTGGATGAAGAAATTATGTCCTCTCAACAAGAAAAAGCTTGGGACCTGTCGCTCCCCGTCTTCGTGGAGGAACGACACAGGACCCTGCGCTGTTCTTTCGTCTGCTTGGCCGTCCCCGGGTTTGCTGCTGGTTCTTCCCGGGTTGGCTGCTGGTCCTTCCCGGGTTGGCTGCTGGTCCTTCCCGGGTTGGCTACCATCCCTTCCACCTCTGTGGAAGGGCGGTTCCCCCTGCCACATTCCCCACTTCCGCGGGGGAGCGGCACACCGCCGGCTGGCTCTCTCGGGGGCTGCACAGGTGTTCCCCTTAGATGTTCCTGGTGCATGCCGTCTCTCTCCTCCTTTATAGTCCTCTTCCACCAATCCCAACTCTGCTACCCACACGCCAAGTACGCTGCTCTCCTCCAATCAGGAGCAGGTCCCACAGTTTATTGGTTGAACTGGAGGCAGCTGTGTAGAAGCTGTTTCCCTTCTCAGCGCCATATTGTGGGAAAGCAGATGCATAGAATAAGTCTTAATTCCAGTAACTTAGTCTAGTCCGAGTTGCTCCCAGTTGCTCCCCACAGGGACCAAATGGCTTCACTGCTGAATTCTACCAAACATTTAAAAAACTGACTCCAATTCTTCCCAAGCTATTTAATACAATTGAAAGGGGTGGAATCCTCCCAAATTTCTTCTATGAAGCCAGCATCACCTTACTTCCTAAATCTGAAAAAGATGCGACAAAGAAAACTATTGACCGACTTCCTGATGTACAAAGATGCAAAAATCCTCAACAAAATTCTGGCCAATTGAATTCAATGATACATCAGGAAGATAATTCACCCAGACCAAGTGGGATTTATCCCTGGTATGCAGGGATGGTTCAACATTCACAAATGAATCAATGTGATACATCAGATTAACAAATCAAAAAAAACAAAAATATATGATTATCTCAACAGTAGCAGAAAAAGCATTTGATAAAATACAACACCTTTTCACAATGAAAACTCTAAGCAAATTTGGTCTAGAAGAAACATTCCTCAACATAATGAAGGCAAGTTATGACAAACCCATGGCCAGCATCCTATTGAATGGAAGCACCTCCCACTGAGATCTGAAATGAGATGAGGATGCTTACTCTCTGCAATGCTATTCAATACAGTCCTGGAAGTTTTAGCCAGATTCATCAGGCAAGAAAAAGAAATCAAAGGGATTCAGTTCGGTAAGGATGAAGTCACACTATCTTTATTTGCTGATGATATGATTTTATATATATATATGTATATATATATATGAACCAAAAGATTCCACTAGACTACTGGAACTCAAAAAGTTTTGTAAAATAGCAGGATATAAAATCAACACACAAAAAACAATAGCCTTTGTATATACAAACAATGCCATGGCTGAGAAAGAACTTCTAAGATCAATCCCATTCACAATAGCAACAAAAAATTAAATACCTTGGAATAAATTTAACCAAGGAGGTCAAATATCTCTATGATGAGAATTACAAAACTCTAAAGAAAGAAATAGAAGACATAAAAATAGAAAGAAAAACTTCCATGTTCATGGATTGAAAAAATCAATATCATCAACATGTTCATTCTTCTGAAAATAATTTACAGTTGCAATACAATATCAATCAAAAGGCCAAAGATATTCTCCTTAGATCTAGAAAAATGATGCTGAAATTCATTTGGAAACACAGGAGAACTCAACTAAAGCAATGATAGAAAAGACAAGTAAATCCAAGGTATAACAATATCATATTTCAAGTTATATTACAAGGCAGTTATAATCAAAACAGCCTGGTACTGGTACAAAAACAGATGGATAGACCAATGGAACAGAATAGAAATACCAGAAATCAATCCAACCATCTACAACCAACTTATATTTGACCAAGAGGCTAAAACCATTTGCTGGAACAAGGATAGTTTCTTCAACAAATGGTGCTGGGAAAACTGGATTTCCACATGCAGAAAAATGAAGCAAGACCCCTACCTTATGCCTTAAACAAAAATCCATTCAAAATGGATTAAAGACCTAAATCTATGACTTGATTCCATCAAATTACTAGAGAGCACTGGGGAAACCCTGCAAGACATTGGCCTATGCAGTGTCACTGGAAAAGACCCCAGAGGAACAGGCACTAAAAACCAAGATTAGCAAATGGGATTACATCAAATTGAGAAGTTGCTGTACAACAAAAGAAACAGGAAAGTAAAGAGGCAACCAACAGAATGAGAGAAATTATTTGCAAACCATGCAACTGATAAAGGATTAATAATTGGAATATACAAAGCAATCAAAAAACTTAACAATAGAAAAACAAACAA